CGAGTTAAGGACTCCACCTGGTTTATCGAAGCCCTCCAGCGCGTTCCTGTGGGTGGGTAAAAGCAGCATCAAGTAACCATATTTTGCTCACAAACGCGCACATAAAGAAAGCCCGCGACCCAGCCGGCTCCGGAGGAGCTGAGGGACAAACCTGAAACTGAAACTGGAATTGCGGAAAAAGGGGGGGCTGTCGAACTCCTGCAGGGAAAGGCACCTCCTGACGTCCTCCACAGTGGGCAGCTGCTCGCTGGAGACCCCGGGCGGCCTCCGCCGCAGCGGTCCTTCATCACTCCCGTTGCACAGCGTGACCAGGCGGTTGTAGTCATCCAAGCTGAGTGAGAAACAGAAAGAGGCACAAGTTAGAAGGTGATGATGCCTTGGCGTTTTCTCCTGTGATATAAAAGAGGCCTCGGCTGTACATGATTCTATGATTCTATGATTCTATGATTCTATGATATACAGGGAGAGAAAGAGGGAAGGAGGAGGAGAAAAACAGTGTAACACTTGTGAAAAAATTCTGTGAATGTGTAAAATGAAACAGCATTTTCAGAAACTCCTGAAATAAACAAAAGCCCTTCTCTGTTTGACCTTGGCAAGGCAAAAGTTTAGTCATTTCAGTTTTCAAGAAAAAACAAAACCCTATTTATCTTGGAGAAAAAGTAGGGGCAAGACTTAAAGCCAACTTGGCGCCTAAAGCTAGAAGTTCAAGTAGTTCTTTAGGTACCCAGAGAAAGAGACTCTTCTGAAAAGCCCTGAGCTCTCGGTACCTCTGTCTGACTGACTGCACGCTGCCCCGGAGCTGACAGAAGAAGGTTTTATAAGTATTGTATCCAGCAACATCTTATGTCGTAGCGCCCCAATCCTGCACGTCAAAGCCCTGCCTTCACCCGAATCAGCATACGCCCACAGACAGCTGGCAGCAAGCACGGGGCTGTCTCTGTGCTGTTTTCCATGTGAAATCTCAGCCGCTTTGAAGTCAATCCCCAAACTGCACTAAATATATCAGGGTTAAGATCTCACCCAATACAAGGGAACAGATTTTTCAGCCTGTCTCTAGCTTCCTATATGCCAAAACAGTTTTCTGTTTCTGCTGCCAAAATCAGTTGGGTGTTTGTTACAGAGAACCAACACGCAGGCATTCCTTCTTTAAAAAGTACTTGCCAATCTGCAAACTCTTCAGACTTTTGGCAGCCTCAAATTGGCTGAATCGACTAAAATCCTCTTTAGGGTTTTAAAGAATCATCTTTAAAAAATATACTTCCATAATACCAGGGGGGAAAGTTTACATAGCACCATCTACACGCAAACCGACCGTGATTCCCAGTTTTAAAAGACGCCTTGGCTCTTTTCCTGCCGCTCACTCACACTGAGAGAGCAGCCCGCGCTGTCAATACTGAATGAAAGCAAGGTTTGGTCGGTATGGAAGCTTGCCCTAGATATTCTCGTACCTGTTACAAACTATTTGCCACCGGGAGAACCTGGAGCTCAGGCTGATCAGCCCCGGGTCATCCGGCCGCGATGCTCCGAAGAGCTGGTCCGTGCAAACATCGCACTCGTTTCTACCAGTGGCGAAGTTCCAGTAGGGCAGCGCGAAGGAGTCGTTGCCCATCAGTCGCTGCAATGGACAGAAACGCATTAGCAGGGAATCACCTTCGAAGGAAGGAGAAAGAAAGGGACCTCCTGCAAGTTGTTTCACTGGACATTCTGCTTTTCATTCCACATTTCAACTACACACACTTCACAGTGCTGCTCCAACTTGTTTCAAAAGATTGGGGCGTTAAGTCCATCCTAGCAAAGACATTGTCACTAGTTACTCTACTGTTGGCCTGCACTTCTTTTGGCCATGTTAGGCTTTCTACCAACTCAGAGACCAGGCAGGAGTGCAGGAGCAGAGATGAATCGAGCCTTAAGGAATAAGAGGCATTCTGAGTGGGTAATGGGTAAAATTGTGCATGCGGTTTGCTTTCACTCCAGAAAGGCTAGCCCTGGGGAAGAATCTGAATTTGTATTAATAGAGGAATACAGTGCATTTGCTTGTGCTTGCTTGTTAGATACGATTTCACACAAGCAAGATCCTGCAGCTATTTTGATACCAACCATTTTCATTAGAGATCTGCAAGGCTGAAATACAGTAACATTGCCAATGTAGAAGTAATGCAAATGGAAATGAGTCAATGCTTCGGCAACTGACTGTCGGGCACGTTAACATATATTTCTTTAAAAGATGTATTGCTAAATATATGCATGTATTATATGTATAGCATGGCACGTTTAAAGGGGGTAATATTTAGAGTTGCTTTTGTTAGGAGGGTATCTTCAACATCAGCAGACAGTATCTGTTACCAAGTTTTACATGTAGGTGTTGCTTTGATTTTATTAATAAATACTGTTAATTCACATCTTCTGTCCTCTGTTGTGGAGATGAAGAAAAAAATCTCCATGATAACCTTCACATCATTGTTCACAGTGAGAAACTGTTCAGTCCTCAGTATCTTGAAAGCACTAATTTCACTTTAAACAAAAAAGGATCAATGAGCAAACACTCCTGGGAGTTTGGGTAAGAATCTATCCTAGGAAATAGCTTGCCCTTGGTTGGCTCAACAAAGTCACATAGCAAAAGAGAGAAGCTGCATGAGGAAAGGGAAAGGCTGTTCAGCTAACCTGCAGGTCTCTCTCCAGCAACAGCAAATGGTACCTATGCCAAGTAACAAAGGCAGGTCCTTGATGGGAGAAATCAATACCTGTGAAGGGGCGGCCAGGTCCTACAAAGGAAAGATAAAATAAGCACTTAGGCAATAAATGAGGCTCGAGAGAAAGAGAGCACCTTCTTCTATTGCCTGGAGTGGAGTTAAACAAAAACCTGCAGCTCTGCACCTGTTGAAAGAGTGCACACATCAGAAGCTACAACACTTACATGGGACAAGTGAAACCAGCTCCTCTGTGGATGTTGGCTTTGCTGCTTCTCAAAACTTCACATTCCCCCAAAAGTTGGATATTGTGAAGATTTCTTATGACATTAGTGGATTTTGGTTTTAAGAAGCAGTCTTATTGTCTAAAATCTTAGCTCCTTGTTTATATGTACCATATTATCTCATTCTCTTGCTCAGTGGCAGGACTTACACCGTGTATCTATCAAGAGAACCTCAGCATTTTCCATAACCTGCCAACAG